AGCTCATTAATTATGCAAATGGCAGGTGAACAGCGACAAGGTGTACTGGCAGCGGCAGCCCCAAGGTGGCGCCCTAATTACACAAACCAGGGGTTAATTACCCTAATTAGGAGGCAGAGTCGATCCAGCAGCCGAGGACGCTAACCATTATGCAAATGAGCTCATTAATTATGCAAATGGCAGGTGAACAGCCCCAAGGTGCTCTGGCAGTGCCAGCCCCAAGGTGGCGCCCTAATTAAACAAACCAGGGGTTAATTACCCTAATTAGGAGGCAGAGTCAACCCAGCAGCTGAGGAGGCTGATTACCATGCAAATGAGCTGATTAATTATGCAAATGGCAGGTGAACAGCGACAAGGTGCACTGGCAGGGGCAGCCCCAAGGTGGCACCCTAATTAAACAAACCAGGGGTTAATTACCGTAATTGGGAGGCAGAGTCAACCCAGCAGCCGAGGAGGCTAGGCGTTATGCAAATTAGCTCATTAATTATGCAAATGGCAGGTGAACAGCGACAAGGTGTACTGGCAGCGGCAGCCCCAAGGTGGCGCCCTAATTACACAAACCAGGGGTTAATTACCCTAATTAGGAGGCAGAGTCAATCCAACAGCCGAGGAGGCTAACCATTATGCAAATGAGCTCATTAATTATGCAAATTCCAGGCGAACAGCCCCAAGCTGCACTGGCAGTGCCAGCCCCAAGGTGGCGCCCTAATTACACAAACCAGGGGTTAATTACCCTAATTAGGAGGCAGAGTCGATCCAGCAGCCGAGGACGCTAACCATTATGCAAATGAGCTCATTAATTATGCAAATGAGCTGATTAATTATGCAAATGGCAGGTGAACAGCGACAAGGTGTACTGGCAGCGGCAGCCGCACGGCGGATTCGCCGTGGTGCACGTGGAGGAGGGCGCGATCGGCCGCAGGATCAGCACGCTGGGGGCCGGCTCTGCGGCCAGAGTGGACATCACTGACCAGTACAAACGCCCCGAGGGTCAGTGAGTGACCGCTGAGTGACCACAGAGTGACCGCACGATCAGCACGCTGGGGGCCGGCTCTGCGGCCAGAGTGGACATCACTGACCAGTACAAACACCCCGAGGGGCAGTGAGTGACCACGAGTGACCACTGACCCTGAGTGACCCTGAGGGACCCTGAGTGACCACTGCGTGACCACAGAGTGACCATAGAGTGACCACTGAGTGACCGCAGGATCAGCACGCCGGGGGCCGGCTCTGCGGCCAGAGTGGAATTCACTGACCAGTACAAACACCCCGAGGGGCAGTGAGTGACCACGAGTGACCACTGACCCTGAGTGACCCTGAGGGACCCTGAGTGACCACTGCGTGACCACAGAGTGACCATAGAGTGACCACTGAGTGACCGCAGGATCAGCACGCCGGGGGCCGGCTCTGCGGCCAGAGTGGAATTCACTGACCAGTACAAACACCCCGAGGGGCAGTGAGTGACCACGAGTGACCACTGACCCTGAGTGACCCTGAGGGACCCTGAGTGACCACTGCGTGACCACAGAGTGACCATAGAGTGACCACTGAGTGACCGCAGGATCAGCACGCCGGGGGCCGGCTCTGCGGCCAGAGTGGAATTCACTGACCAGTACAAACACCCCGAGGGGCAGTGAGTGACCACGAGTGACCACTGACCCTGAGTGACCCTGAGGGACCCTGAGTGACCACTGCGTGACCACAGAGTGACCATAGAGTGACCACTGAGTGACCGCAGGATCAGCACGCCGGGGGCCGGCTCTGCGGCCAGAGTGGAATTCACTGACCAGTACAAACACCCCGAGGGGCAGTGAGTGACCACGAGTGACCACTGACCCTGAGTGACCCTGAGGGACCCTGAGTGACCACTGCGTGACCACAGAGTGACCATAGAGTGACCACTGAGTGACCGCAGGATCAGCACGCCGGGGGCCGGCTCTGCGGCCAGAGTGGAATTCACTGACCAGTACAAACACCCCGAGGGGCAGTGAGTGACCACGAGTGACCACTGACCCTGAGTGACCCTGAGGGACCCTGAGTGACCACTGCGTGACCACAGAGTGACCATAGAGTGACCACTGAGTGACCGCAGGATCAGCACGCCGGGGGCCGGCTCTGCGGCCAGAGTGGAATTCACTGACCAGTACAAACACCCCGAGGGGCAGTGAGTGACCACGAGTGACCACTGACCCTGAGTGACCCTGAGGGACCCTGAGTGACCACTGCGTGACCACAGAGTGACCATAGAGTGACCACTGAGTGACCGCAGGATCAGCACGCCGGGGGCCGGCTCTGCGGCCAGAGTGGAATTCACTGACCAGTACAAACACCCCGAGGGGCAGTGAGTGACCACGAGTGACCACTGACCCTGAGTGACCCTGAGGGACCCTGAGTGACCACTGCGTGACCACAGAGTGACCATAGAGTGACCACTGAGTGACCGCAGGATCAGCACGCCGGGGGCCGGCTCTGCGGCCAGAGTGGAATTCACTGACCAGTACAAACACCCCGAGGGGCAGTGAGTGACCACGAGTGACCACTGACCCTGAGTGACCCTGAGGGACCCTGAGTGACCACTGCGTGACCACAGAGTGACCATAGAGTGACCACTGAGTGACCGCAGGATCAGCACGCCGGGGGCCGGCTCTGCGGCCAGAGTGGAATTCACTGACCAGTACAAACACCCCGAGGGGCAGTGAGTGACCACGAGTGACCACTGACCCTGAGTGACCCTGAGGGACCCTGAGTGACCACTGCGTGACCACAGAGTGACCATAGAGTGACCACTGAGTGACCGCAGGATCAGCACGCCGGGGGCCGGCTCTGCGGCCAGAGTGGAATTCACTGACCAGTACAAACACCCCGAGGGGCAGTGAGTGACCACGAGTGACCACTGACCCTGAGTGACCCTGAGGGACCCTGAGTGACCACTGCGTGACCACAGAGTGACCATAGAGTGACCACTGACCACTGAGTGAGCAGTGACCACTGAGTGACCATAGAGTGACCGTGAGTGACCACTGAGTGACCCTGAGTGATCACTGACCACTGAGTGAGTCAACCCTTGACCAATGACCAATGGCCGAACTCTTGACCCAACCAATGACCAATGGCCGAACCCTTGACCAATGACGCAACCAATGACCCCTTGACCGATGACGCAACCATTGACCCCTTGACCCCACCAATGACCAATGACCCGACCAATGACCCAACTCTTGACCCAACCAATGACCAACCAATGACCAATGACCAACCAATGACCAATGGAGCCAACCACTGACCAATGACCCGACCAATGACCCAGCTCTTGACCCAACCAATGACCAACGCCCCAACCCTTGACCAATGACTCAACCCTTGACCCAGCCAATGACCAATGACCCAACCAATGACCAATGACTCAACCAATGACCCTTTGACCGATGACACAACCTGAGTGACCACTGAGTGACCACTGACCCTGAGTGACCACTGAGTGACCATAGAGTGACCGTGAGTGACCACTGAGTGACCCTGAGTGATCACTGACCACTGAGTGAGTCAACCCTTGACCAATGACCAATGGCCGAACCCTTGACCCAACCAATGACCAATGCCCCAACCCTTGACCGATGACGCAACCAATGACCCCTTGACCCCACCAATGACCAATGACCCGACCAATGACCCAACTCTTGACCCAACCAATGACCAACCAATGACCAATGACCAACCAATGACCAATGACCCAACCATTGACCAATGAGCCAACCACTGACCAATGACCCGACCAATGACCCAGCTCTTGACCCAACCAATGACCAACGCCCCAACCCTTGACCAATGACTCAACCCTTGACCCAGCCAATGACCAATGACCCAACCAATGACCAATGACTCAACCAATGACCCTTTGACCGATGACACAACCCTTGACCCAACTTGACTCAACTACCCAACCAATGACCAATGACCCAACCAATGACCAATGACCCAACCAATGACCCCTTGACCCCTTGACCCAACCCTTGACCCCTTGACCCCCTCCAGGCTCGGAGGAGGAGCGCCGCGCCGTCTCCTCCGCCACTTCGCACGGCTCCCGTCCCCGGCAGCGCGGCCCGGCCTCGGCCGGCGAGGTGACGCTGACCGTCGGCGCCGCTCCGGCCGTGGCCGGAGCCGAGCTGGAGCTGCGGGCGGCCATCAAGAACCAAGGGCTGGAGCCTCGGACGCTGCGGCTGCGCTTCTCCCTCTGCGCCGTCCGCTACACCGGCGTGGCCGGAGCCGCCTTCCGGCAGGAGCAGCACCGCCGGACGCTGCCCCCGGGGACCCAACCGCCACTGGGTTGGACTGGTTTATACTGGTTTGGACTGGTTTGGACTGGGACAGGGTTTTGGGGGGGTTCTGGGTCACTGAAAGGGTCGAAATTTGGGAAAAATTTGGGTTAAATCCAGTATTTGATACTGGTTTGTACTGGTTTGGTACTGGTTTATACTGGTTTGGTACTGGTTTATACTGGTTTGGTACTGGTTTATACTGGCTTGTACTGGTTTGGTACTGGTTTATACTGGTTTGGTACTGGTTTATACTGGTTTGCACTGGTTTGGTACTGGTTTATACTGTTTTTTTACTAGTTTATACTGGTTTGATACTGGGATGTCCCCAATGTCCCCTGGTGACGTCCCTGGGGGTGTCCCCAATGTCCCCTGGGGGTGTCCCTGATGTCCTCTGGGGGTGTCCCCAATGTCCCTGGAAGTGTCCTTGATGTCCCCATTGTCCCCTGGAGATGTCCCTGAGGGCATCCCCAATGTCCCTGGGGGTGTCCCTGGGGGTGTCCCTGGGGGTGTCCCCAATGTCCCCGATGGCCCCGATGTCCCCTCAGAGGACACGGTGACCATGGCGGTGAGCTACGCCGAGTACCAGCCGCAGGTGGGGGACCGGGACGCGCTGAAGCTGACGGTGGCGGCGGCCGTGCAGGAGACGGGGCAGGTGCTGGCCAGGGAGCTGCTGGTGCGGCTGCACACGCCCGAGCTCACGCTGACGGTGAGGGGGCCCAAAAAATATCCAAAAAATATCCAAAAAACGGCAAAAATCCCGCCCAAAAAAGTCACAAAAATCCCCCCCAAAATCCCAA